AAAAAAATCTTTAGATATTTAGAATATTCATATATAATTTGATTCGATAGAAGTGAACATATCATTTAAATCATTAGAATCACGTTTATTTAGAATCTATCAATTAAAATATTGAACGATTTAATCAACTGGTTTCTTAGATTTTTTTGATAGTTGTCAATGTGAGATATTGATTCTACAAATACCAATTATCAAATCTAATTTTAAATATACTTTTGCAAGAGATATCATAATACTTAAAAGTATTAAAAAATATTACTTTTTTCATTGATGTCCTATGTCTAGTTTGAAGAAAAATGTCTGTATATCGCTTGTGAACAAGACAGATTATTGGAAATGAAAAACGTCAATGTACAGGGTGGTAAATAATATTATTCCAGGGGGGTAACACTATGATCTCGAATCGGAGATATCATGAATTTTATACCAAATGAAAGCTCGTGAAAAATGGGGTTTAGTGATAGTAAATAGTAAGACTTTGAAGAACTTTCTTGTATTAATTTATCAAACGTTACGATTTTTATCGACATAAAATATTATAAAATCAGTTCATCGAAAAAGTTCGGGGCTAAACTATATGTTGTACAACTGTTTATTTTCTTATTATTTATTGAGTACAATCAATAATCAGTATGACGACCATTAGCACTCTTTACTGCACGAAGTCGAGATGGATACGAACATAAAAGAGCTTCAAACAATTCGGTATTTTCTTCCATGTCCGTCAAAACATCCGCAATGTGCTTTTTAAGTGTGTCTTCACTATATCGATTATGTCCAGTTTCCGATAACATTTTTTGTTCAACTTCATCTTTCATTATTGATCCAATATGTTCCGCCGCATTGAGATCGGGCGAATTACCAGGCCAAATATCATTGCCCCAAAACTCGATTTTGTTATCTCTAATCAGATGTTGAGTCATGTTTGCTCGCATACACGGTGCTTTATCGTGAACAAATATCACATTATCCAGATCAATTACGTTTTCCTCGTCGGTGAGGAATGGAAATACGTGTTGCATTAAAATAATGTCACGAAAATATTGACCGGTCCAAGATTCACCTTTGTCTTTAATCACCCAATGCATTTTTTTCGCGGTGAAAATGATAAAAATACCGATACACGCTTGGTTTTTAACCATTTCGCGATACCTTTCATCGTCTTCAATATCTTCAACACTTTTTGCCCAAATCCTATCATTTTGATAATTTGGTTTGCGAACTGTCCAAACATAAAATTCATCTGATGGTGCCAGATGAAGAAAATCTTCTTCAGTCCAATCTTTCAACCAATCACAGAGCCATAATCGATCTGATATATGAGTTTCAGATTTTAACGGTCTTGAAATAACATGAAAAGGCTTTAATCCTTCCCTACGACGGTAGTTATTAACTGTTTGTCGAGTAACATATTCTTTTTGTTTCTTTGCAATCTCTTTCGCCACGACAGAACCGCTTTTCCGTTGGTGACCACTTGCTTCACGAATAATGTCCTGAGCAGCTCTCGATAACTTGAGTTTAGGACCAGCATTCGAATAATCAGCAAAACATTGGTCACACGATTTTTCCCACCATTCTGTAACAAATCGAGTCGTACGGTGAATTTTGTCGGCAATCCATTGTCTATTTATAAATGTTGCACCAGCATCACGAGCTTCTCGGAAAGTAATGCATTTAATTCTATCAATCATTCTTTGTTGTTCGGTATCATAAGCGCCAGCCATTTGAAATAACAAACGAAAAAACACTGAGATTTCACTCGACTATAACTTTCAGACAGTCCGAGAACGAAAAAATTTTTCAAATAACTAGTATCACGTGGAGAGAAGAACAGAACGCCAAAGAACCATCTTATTGTGTGAGTCATAGTCATATATCATCATCGTTATCATTTCTCTTTCGTTTTCATAAAAAATGTTCGTTTTCAATGTCTCAAAATGTATGAAAAATGATTTTTAACGTGTTTTTGAAAGAAAATTTCGTTGTTTTTAAAAATTTGGTACACGAAAGTTCTTCAAAGTCTTACTATTTACTATCACTAAACCCCATTTTTCACGGGCTTTCATTTGGTATAAAATTCATGATATCTCCGATTCGAGATCATACTGTTACCCCCCTGGAATAATATTATTTACCACCCTGTATACAATTTCGTGTTTTCAACCACGATATATCAGATATTTTAACAGCATCTTCTCACCAGTTTCTACAGCTTCAAAATGTATCGAACAACATGTATTTTACGACAACAAGATTATTTTATCTTTATCTTATATGCTCCTCTAGTACAAATGAGTTTTCTGCAAGATAACTCAGACTTAAATTATAAATTTCATTTCTATACTTTATTCATATTGAAATTGATATCCACCCTCATCTGACATGTAAAGGATGAATATCATTTCCACTCCGCTTCATAATGAAAATGAATTCTCTAACGCTATCGAATCGAAGCCCAAAGTAAGCAGTTATATTTGTAACACAAATGAATTTTTTGCCAATACGTCTTCGATATTTAATACAGATGATTCCAACAAAATGCTGTAGCTTATGCCATCTAGCATATCATAATGTGACGCCATTTGAGTTTTCTAGAAATTGGAATTTACTATGCCCTCGTGTATGATTTATACTCTTAGAAAGTCCACTGATTCTAAAGTTCTGTGTTCATCTCTCAAATAATATACTAGTTTTCTTGATTATCAGTAAATATCTCTATATGGTTTGTCTGAACGATAACAAATTGGAAGAAAGATCAATATTACTTTTATTTGTAATTTTTCTATTAATAATTCTTTTTGAATATAATCATGAAATTGAAATTTTTATTCTTATGAAAAATGTTTTTTCACACAATTGAAGTAAATGTCTGTTTCAGCACAAAAATGTAAACATCTGTTTTATTCATTAATCGTAAATGTCTTCCAATATATCACAGTAAACTATTTCACTTTTTATGGATTCTTCTCGACATCCTTCTTTGTGATGTTCTGATGTCCTTTTGAGTATTCTATAGAGAAAATGTATTTGTTCTGTTTGTTGTTTTATTATTGTCTTGAGTTCATCTATTGTTGGTTGAATTTTCACTAATGGACATACTTGGACATGACCTTGCATTTGATCACGTTGTCCTTTCCAATCACAGTAGATACCGGCTGCTGGACATGGTATGATAATTTTTGTACATATTTTGATATGATCTTTGAAATCACCACGTTGAATATTACTTTGTGAACACCATTTGCATTTAACAAGAATTTTGTTGAGTTGATTGAGAAAAGGACGTGTGGTAACAGGATGAAAATCGTTGATTGTTAACGTATGGCGACATGTTGGACATTGTGATTTTGTACGAAAAGTATTAATGATGCATTTACGACAAAATGTATGTCCACATTGATTAGCACAGACAGGTTCTTCAAATGGCTCAGTGCAAATAGGACAAAAGAGGTCTTCATCAATAGAATTTTCAGTCATATTTTCCCAGTCGATATTGATTGCCATTTGAGATGAAATGAATGAAAATGAAATACGTTTTTCTTTCACTTTTATATCTATGAGTTAATTGAAAAGTAAGAAAAATAAAAGAAAAAGACTGACGACGACCAATATGACTAGTCCACAATGTTCATTAGAAGTAGTCAGAAAGGTCTTCTATACTCGTTACTTGTTGGACGAATCGATGAAAGGTAGATTCAAATAGTCGATATTTAGAAACCCAAGTAGACAATAGAGATATCAATACAAATCTCGTCATTTCATGTCAAGTGAATCTGAAAAGATAGACATGTATCATGTCTGATCCATTGATGGCAACTGGTTAAGAAACAAAATAACTATTTTTATTAGTCTCATCAAATATTTACACAATTAAGATCAAATAAAATAATCTCAAATGACTCACATTCGTGTCTTCAAATTGATTATAAATTTGATTGAATTCTCAATCGGACAGGATTTCGATCAAGATGTTTTTTGACAAATTCAATATGACTTCATTCCATAGATCTTTGTTTTACTGTTCAATGTCAATTTTTTTCTCTCAAATATGAGACACACTTAACAAACAAAAGCTTCGCATTTTCATTCAGTAATCATGGATCTTTCTTTGGGAAACCAACAAAATCAACTCTAATTTCAGAAAAGAAACGATTCGAGAGAGATTTGATCATTCTCGTTCGACTATCTTCGAATCAAGTCTTTCTTTGTCTTTTTATTCTGTATAAATCAACAGCGATTGAAAGAACAATGATCGATCGAATATTTAACAAGTGAGAAGATTTCACCTGACAAAATGATCTCGAGTAATTCTAGATATACCAAATTGAAAATAGTGAGATAATAATTAACTCTGGATCATGCTTTTATAAGAAATGTGAAGCCAGTAATTATGATCAATCAGTTAGAGTATTGTTTTGAATAAACAACGGATTTCTTTTTTTTTGAATTTGAATCAACTTTTTTATATGAAAATATTTGCATGTAATCTACCATACGATAAGTACTGACATTGCAATTCTCGTTGGGAAAAATCAATATATGCACGTGAGTGAAGAGCGAACACCCTATTCAACACAAGCAATTCGATAACGACACATATGCAAGTAGTTGGGTGTGGGCCTGGATCTGGATCGAGAGAAGAGCAACACCCACTTCTACGAATGATAATGAGTTAGAACATAATGAGAGAAGAAGAAAGGAAATAAAGCCTTAAATGGGAATAAGAGAAAAAAAGCATAAAGAAAGTGGCGCGTGAAGAAGTTTACGAGAAAGCATGATCGATCATAGACACAAGGAACAGAATTAGTATGGCAGCATCTAAGCAAGATGCAAGTCATACTAGGTAGGCGTGAGTGTGATGTATGTTTGAATTAAAAAGAAGAAGAAGCACGCATCTTTAATGCTAACAGATCAATATGTGATGTCAAGAATACAGTAAAAAATTAACTTTCTCATAAATACTTCGATGCATGTCGCATGTATTTTTGCTTAATGATTCATGTTGATTGTCATATTGCGTAGGGACTCATAGATATTTCAATGAATAGTCTATAAAAACATGTTGTTCATCATCAAAACAATCAACCTCACTTTATTTAAATCTTGATAATAGAACACTCTAATCTGTGATCATATATTCGTGTTGACTGTTGTCTTCTGAAAATCTGCATTTTATTATTTTTAGATCACAAAAATAAAGTCGAATCATTTGATTATTATCATGCATAAATTTATGATTATACTTCTTTATCATGTAACTGATGGTTTAGATTGAATGTATGAAACACAACGTAATACTGATGGAACAGTTCTTAATACGTTTGATGGTGTGGGTGTGGTGTATGTATGGGATGTGGGTGTGTGGGTGTGGGTTCTCTTCCTACCCACATCCATTATGAAATAAGATCAAATTGAAATCGTGAAAATGTTAAACATATTTTTCTAGTTTTTTTGATGAAATCTGATTCGTCTTTTTTGTATTATTCTAGGTAAAATTGATTGTACAAATGGATTCGATGAACGTCATTGTCATAAGTTGGAAATGAATGAATGTGTTAATATGAATGAATATCGTTGTCTAAATGGAAAATTTATTGATAAAGAGTTCTATTTAGACCAACAATATGATTGTATGGATATTTCCGATGAAATTTATGAGAAACTATACGGAAGCAGTTCTGATTTCACATTGGATTCTTAAGATCGATTGTCTTCATTAACATGGTTTTCATGTGGCGATGGTTTTTGTTATGATGAACCAAATATTGATGTTGAAGAATCAATTATTTTTGACATTTTCAGAAGAAAGATGCGTTTTCTCAAAGAGATCTTCTTTATTTTCAACAAATGCCAGTATCAACATTCACCTTATTTAAACATGTATCTTTGTTTTACAATGATACGATTCCAAAATGGATCTGTTATAATGAAACACTATGTCCATATCTGACCATGAATGAATTTAATTTATCCAAATCACACATACTCAATGGTTCGATTTGCCGAGCATCTAATGTATTTAACAATAAAATTTACACGGATTTGAAGGATATCTTCAAAGAATTCAAACGATTTGTTCGTTCATGTGCATTACCGCCAAATATTCACTTATTGAAAGAATGTTCAATGTTTTCATGTGATGATAAAAGCAAATGTTTATCTTTTCATCGTCTATCTGATGGTTTTCAAGATTGTTCGAATAGAGAAGATGAACGACAAAATGTAACATGTTCATTCAATCTTCCCTATTATCGATATAAATGTGATCAAGAAACGTAATGTATTCGTAAAACATTAGTTGCTGATCAGATTGTAAGTTTAGACGAATCTCTGAACTTCATATTCAGAGTTTTCTTAATGAGAATTTAATTGTAGAGTCATTGTTCCGACAGAAGTGATGAAATCGGTATAGCTTATCCAAATAGAAAAGTAAATAGATACTGCTTTCATTTAGACACTAATGAATGTCGTGCATTTCGTAATCAATCCAATTATGCCAGTATAACTTTTTGCTAAAATTTGCAATGGTATTTTGAAATATCTTCCCGATGTCGATAACAATACCGATGAATCGGACTGTTCAATGGATGAATGGTGTTGTTTGACGCAACGTACAGGATGCGATGGTACTTGACATTGTCCAGATGAACGTGATGGGTATGGTTGGGTGTGGGTGTGTGTGTGGATGTAGATGAATGTGGGTTGAGCTAACACTGGCATCCACATCCCACACCCACACCCTTACAGGGATGTGACAGTAGTCAACAAACTTGCAGACGGTTCCAAATGAGAAATACATATACATTTTGTTATTTTAATTAATTACAGCAATATGGCGGGTTTTCAAAACCAGATTTTTTTAACCTTTTTTCTAAAAAAAGAGGTTTTGAGCGATTTTCAAATCTAATTTACATTCATTTTTGCTCATTCCAAACATATATAGGTTATTTTCGATTGCACATTCGCTGAACACAGTTAGAGGGTCCTCTCTGACATAGCTAATGGAAAAAACTAGCATTCCATTGTTTATTGCGCAAATAAATCAATAAAAGTTTCTATTGAAAAAACAACATCTGACTGTTTATAACAAGCATAGTTCTTAATATCTGATGGAAATCTGCATCTAATAATTTGTTTTATCAAAGTTGGCCACTCATATAGTAAAGATACTATCAAACTATCACTGTCATCGCTATCATTAACCTAGTCGTTTCTGCTTAGAGTCCCTTATACGTGACGAAATTGCAGTATAGGGGTCATGACAGTCATAGTGAAGTTAAAAAAATTGTTTCATATTTTTATTTAATTATGTCACTTAAAAAGAGAATGTTACGCTGATTTCAAATATATATAACACTGATTACTTTTGCCACATTTACACCCGTTTACACATCTGACAAACTTGTTGATTTGTGGAGGGGGGGGGGGCGATTGGCGCAATGGTAATATGTTCGATTCACGAGAATAAGCATCGTGTTCGAGCTTTCCCTTCCACAGCACCATGTTTATATAACTCTGTTCTGTTCTACATGTCGCAAGCTACTCGTTCATCGATGGTCTATGCATTCCACTCGCATACCAAAATGGTTCGACTCGGCAAGCCATCGCTCGTAACTCACGTTATCTATGCCCACAGTTTTATATGCTTCATGTTTTGTGCTTTGCTTTAATTGCTTTTCCTTCTTTATAAGCAACTTGTTTTCAAAATCATTTGTCCTTTTAGGCCTTATCATGGGTAAAGGGTTAAATAAATATCGCATGAAAGTAACTTGTTGATTGATTTTCTCAAAATCACTTTTTTGGAGAGTTAGAAACCGATTTCTCAGACTGTAGAAGAGGTAGCAAGCTACCGTTCTTTTTAAATAAAAGAAGAGACCTATGTCTAGAAATGTATATAGCGTTTTTTCGAAATTCGATTTCTTTGTCGAGATAATTGGATAACACTGACGTCAAAAAGCGCTAATTTTCGAGTTATTGCAGGAAAAGGTCTCGGAAATCCGAACAAAATCGAATTTCGAAAAAAAGGTATATGCATTTTTAGACTCAGGACTTCTCTTTTATTTAAAACAAACGCTAGCTCTCTACCTCTTCGACAGTCCGAGAAATCGGTACCTTACGAAGACCACCATTTTGAGAACTAATTTGTGCACAACTCGTTAAAACAAAAATCTTATGAATCAAAAATTTGCAAGAAATTAAGTTAACGCAATACACATATTCCCTGAAAATTGCAGCCAAATCGGCCCACGAATGACGGAAAACGATTTCTGTGGGGGGCTTAGCAATAAAAAAACAAAACTAAAATTTCATCCTTTAAAAAAAAGGAATATTATTATTAATAATCGTGTTTATATTGTTTCTAATTCTTCATAATATGTATATGAATAGTATATTTTTTGTTTTTTGTTGGTAAATAACGTCTAACTGCAACAACTTCATTTATGTACTTTAAAACAAACTTCATTATGTTGATGAAATGTATTCATTGATTTATGTGTTGTGTAAATATCAATAATTTCACATGATTGAAATTGACTTTATTCATGATTGACAATTGCTACATTTGCATCATGGGTGCGGGTGGGGTGTGAGGGTGGCTGTACAAGCCCATGTAGCCCACTCCCACACCACCCACAGTCACAGCCACACTCGCACATTCACACCCACACCGATACCGACAATTTCGTCCATCAAACCAAATAGTACTTCACACATCTTTTTTACTGATTTTATTTTGATTGAATCACAAAAAAAATTTCATATTTTCTCTCTTTCATCTAACTACGCCATCTAAGTCTTTCTCATGTTCAATGGTGTAAATAATGCACCAATTGATATTTTTTCTTTTCTGTCATCGTTGCTATTAAAAGCGATGCATGTCGTGTAGGAGTACCTACGCTTTGAATTGTTCTGTGGTAGCTTAAGACGAAAGCATACGATTGATAGATTCTACCTCGTAAATTTACTCTCAAAAAAATACTTGAATGAAATTTTTAATACACAGAAAATAGCAAAAAATATCTTTTTTTTCATAATTATTAAAATCCTTTCAAATATATCATTATGTCATATTGACGAAAATAACGTCAAGGTACTCAACGTCTGATCAATTTTTTTTGTAACAAAAATGATTCATATCGAATATGTTTTTTTATCTGATGATATATCTTTCATTAGTATTATGATTGTGTTTATTTTTCATTAAAAGTCTATTGAAGGATAAATTTTATCAGCTATTTTTCGTGTTTTAGTTGAATTTTAGTGAATTATTTCAAGTAACAAACTGCCAATGTTTGCTTTCTCCTGATGGCCAATATTTGACATGTGTTAATCAATATCGTTTAATAATTCGTTCATCGACAACATTAGAAATAATAAACTTATTTGCTTGTACTGATACAATTGATACTATTGGATGATCATACGATTGATGTTTAATTTTAGCTGGTCTAATAAAACGTAATGCTGTTCAAATATTTTCATTAGATAACCCATAATGAAAAATGTAAAAATGATGAAGATTCAGCTGATCTTTGTAATGTACATTGAGCATCAGATTCTCGACATATATTAACAACAGCATAATTTCATTTACGTATAATAGTTTGGTCGCTAACATCAAAAGATATTTTTTTTAAACAAAATATCCAATACACAGATTACACCACATTCATATGTTTTTAGTTTATGAAAATCTATATGGCATTAGTTGAACGTCGTAATGATAGAACAGACCATTTATCAATATTTGATTATATAACACATTGGTCAATAATTGCACATTTTCCACCAAATGATTTATAATATCACAAAGGTATTGAATGGTCGCCAGTAATTGATATTTTGTGTTTATGGAAGAATTCTTATGAATATAAAATTCTTTTCTATACATTTGATGAGCTATTATTAAGTATATATAAATCAGAAAATGATCGTTTATCATTAGGCGTGCGTTGTGCACGATGGTCGCCAACAGAACAAGTTATTGTCGTTGGAGATTATGAAGAGTGTATAACTATTTTTAGTTATTTAACATATAAAAAAATTCAAACACCATTTGAACATCCACAAGAATTAGTATCTGAAACAGATAATACAATTTTAAAAGAAGAAGAATATAATTCAGACAATTAAGAAAAAAAAAATGATCAAAGGTATTCGTATTAAACTTTTCATTGGTTAGATATTTTAATCGTGCATCTATACAAACATTTGTCTTTTGTATATATGTATTGAAGTAAATGCAAATAACGTAAATCGATTACTTCTCTGATTTATCCGATGAAATAATAAGAAAATAGTGTACTTTGAATTGTTGGATACTATTGAGTTGTCGGGTAAAAGCATTTTAAAACAAGTATGTGCAGAATAAACTGCTTCTATATCGTGACTAAGACAAATTCTCTAATTTTCATGGCGACTTTCAGGGTACAGCCAATTCAATTACAGTCACACTGGATGAATCCTAATTTTTTCAGGAAATATTTAGAACGAGCTAGTCACCAAATGCAGCAAAAAAGAAGATTTCAAGTGTTTCAGACGGCTATCTAACTGTAATTAGAGAAATTTAGTGAATACGAAAGTATAGTTCGAACGGATTCCACGGTCGGAAAAGCTTGGACGCGATGCATTCTACTGTAAAATAGCGTGATCCTAAATGTGTATCATGGGAGCTGATAGTTACTTCAATTAACACGTGTTCTCATGTGATTTCATATTTCTAATTAGCAAAAACTAAAATAGTAAACCCGATAGAATTTTAAATATCGTTTTCAGAAAATCTTATGATCATAATATTTTATTTGTTTCATTCTAAAAGTCAACATAACAAGCCAATTTAGAATTCTGCGTAAAAGACTTTGATCTGTTTAATATTTTTGAAAGTTTGTAGAACAAATGAGTTTTGATTGAATTCGGAATCCTTCGCAAAAAGCTTTGAGTTAAACGAGATTAAATTATCAAGTATTGTATGTCCTTAAGAAATCAACATGATAATAATTTCGTTGGAGTGAATGGACGAAACTTTCCAAATATAATTGACTTTAATTTTATATTTCAGTCAACGTACACTTTATTCATCATCTGTCTTAGCACAAATAAAAAAATAAAAGTTCTATTAAATCAAAAATATATTATTTATAATGGTACACTTCAAATAGCACCAATAAAACTTGATCTTGATCGTACTAATCCTCGAGTTGGTATATCATCAATTGAATATTCGTGCTCAGGTCAATATTTATCAAGAATTCATGATATAATGGCAAATCTTTTATTTGTATTTGATTTTAAACCAACTGAACGTGATCATTTAGCATTGTGAAGATATAATAATCGTATTTATATATGGTAACTAAAAGCTGGATTTTGTATTAATTTACCTGATGAATCATCAAAGCAAAATATAGATGAAATTAAGTGGAATAATTTTGAATCTTCGGCAAGTATTGCTTTACTTGAATACGAAACAATGCGTGTAAGTTTTATTGATCTTAATAATGATATTTGATGTGTTCAGATAATTTTTTGTTTTTTCATCTATGAATGAATTCCTTGTTGAATGTCATCCGTTTGTAAGGCTTTTCTTTTGCATTTAATTTACAATTTAAACGTAGAATCTTTTGATTACAAAATATACTTGCATCAGCTGTAGTTTCTTTTAGATATGACAGAAAATAAGAGTTTCACCGAAGAAGAAGACGAAAATGATAATGATAATGATGAACTTGATTTGTATGATTTTCTTGAAGTTGTTGCCGATAAAATTGATTCAATAAAACATAAAAGTATTGAAGAAAGCATATAAAATCTTGATTGATATTGATTTTTTAAAAATATTTTTGTATTCTTTTCTTGGTTTTAGTTGAAGAACATAAAGAAGTTACTATAGAACAATGGCAACGAACAAAAGACGAAGTTGAAGAACAAAAACGTATACTTAAAAGTCAATTAGAAAAACATCTTCGTCTATTGTCAGAAAACTTTAAAAAACCAAATTTTATTCGAACAAGAGATAAGATAGCATTTACAATTGGAGTTGCTAATACTTGTTTTTCTCCATTAATTGGTATGATATGATTTTCTATTCTTATGCATGTGTGATGTTCTAAAAGGGATGTTCAAGTGTGTTGATGGGAGAATTTTTTAATCACTATATTAAGATTTTTTTGGTTTTTGTATAATTTTCACTATGTAGTGCAAATACAGATACTAAATTTAATCGTCTAAATGCTTTTCTATTGAGTATATTCATAGGCGGCGAAGCCATTATGCCTGGGTAGGCACGAGTCTACCATAGGCTGAGAGAGGATAGGCTTGGGTAGACTCAAACTAGGCCAGTTCACAGGCTTGGATAGGCTCGATTCAATGTATAAATTTTCCATTATTATTTGATTTTCATACTTTGACAAATGATGCATTGTCACAAGGTCAGTCCACTTTTTCTGTACTACCAACTCGTGTTCAGGAGATATTTATTGAACTTTGTTGGCATTTGTATCGACGTCGAATTGTTTGTTATTGAAATTCGACAAGCTTAGTGGTGATTTTAAACTTCTATTCAAAATATATTTTCAATTTTAGGTGGTTAAATATCATTACTCTTTTCATATACTAATGCCGGCTAAACAAAGTCAAATTATGCTTTCTTTCAAAATAGAAAACAAGAGGCCAATGATAGTTCTGATAGAAGTTCTTCTTTTGTTGGTATTTTATCGAGCATTTAAGAAAAATTAGATTTACTTCATTCCAACAGTGTCTAAACTGTCGAGCGTTCAAAGTTTGCCGACGGGCTTCTACTAGGTGCCACGATTTTTCAAAGATTTCAGATACAAAAATTTTTAAAAATCGCTAAACGTTTTTCGGAGTTTTTAAGGATTGTTTGAGGGGTTTGCGAGGAGATTTCGAGATTTTAATACTGATAAATAAGATTTTTATACATTCTTATCTTAAAATCTTGCAATTTATAAATTTTTAGTATGAAAAAGAAAGGAAAG